CTCTCTCTCATCGTTCGCAATTGGTTTGCTCATTGTGAGGTTTGGTCTGTCTCTACTCTGACTAAGAAGCAATTCTATTGACAACATAATTATAATCTTGGGAAAATGTAAAGAGTCTTGATCCATTGTGCTACATATTAAGTTTGGGGTTGATGATATTTTCATTACTGTTGATTCAGGATTGCATGATGGGCGGAGTGAATTTCACAAACACAAGGTAATTCATTCTTTAATTGTACGCAGCAAAAAATTTTGTGCAAAAAGAAGTCAAACATGTGTTTAGACATAAAACAATAAATCACTATGCAGTATGCAGTGAAGATAAATTATATGTGTAATAAAAATTAATGGAAAATATACATGAATATTCCCAACTCTGAATACTACCACAATCAATGTTGCACAAGAATACTCTCAGGAGATTGCCATGTCACAAAAAGCTCCATTGATAGTGGAATTTGTCCCTTCATTATGTTTATCTTTTGTTGATTTTGTTATTTTAAGATGGTTAAGCTGCAGAGTACTTCCTCCGTCCCCAAGTATTTGTCCACAATTCCAATTTGGGCCGTCTCACAGTATTTATCCACTTTCCGTTTATGGTAAAAAGAATCACACACATTCCCAACTTTACCCTTTAAAGCTTAATCAATTTACATCACCCCACCCATGAAATAACTCTTCCAGCCACTCAAGTTTCTCCATTTACTGGACCCTCCTAAGTTTCTCCCTTTAGTGGAAAATTGGAGATGCGATGAAGACGGTAACAAGTGTAGAAAATGCTCTGAAAATGCAGTGGTAGACATTTGGATTTGGTGCTGATGAAGGAGCTAATCAGTATTCATACAAATAATAGAGGATAAACAATTTTGTCTTTGGAGCATTTTTGCGACATAGATTATCTCACGGGGTGTTATTGTGAAATGTTTGTTGGAGTATTTTGGAGACACCCACCATTCATTGCACAATGTATTGGGTTTGCTGTTTGACGGTTCTGTCCTTGATGATTTTTCATTTATTCAATATTCTTCAATGTGGCTACTTCCTTCCCATTTAAAAACAGAAAAAAGAAAATCCTTCCATTTCTTCAATATCTTGTTTTTTTATATAGCTCACACTTATCATTGCTTTTCTTTGTAATTTGTGTGCGTTTGGCTGGATAAAAAAAGGCAACGAATGACATGGAAAAAGTGGAGATGGAAGCTGCCGAGTTAGAGCAACCAAAAGCAAAGCTGCTGCATGAGGATTGCAAGATGAATGGAGTGATTTAGACGAAGATACGGTAATTCCTTCTTTATTTGCAATATATATGCACATGCAAAAGGAATTTTTACATGAATTTATTCATAAAATTACAATAATGAAAATCCCTAAATTTGATTTGTTCATGCATTCCACACTTAACTTTGAGCCTTAATTGTTGTACTCAACACACACGCAGTAGACCTTGTTTCAGATTTAAGAAATTGGTGGGTAACAATATGGCATTTCGCTGTCTATGAACAGAGGGATTGAAGGTTGCATATTTCTTGACCCTCAAGACCTCATTGAGTTTTGGACTATACTAGGGTTGTTTTCGTTGCTTTTTATTTAAAAGAAAATAGATTGTATAAATGGTAAAACTTATAATCCTACTTGGGTCTCTTTTGATTCAATTATTTCATTTTCATTTGAAGTTCCAAGCTTCTGTGTGTGTTCTCATACTACGGAGTATAATTTTTTTTTCAATTATAATAACTCAACGGTTCTTTTGACCTTGGAAACCAAAGTCATATTATGTCCCAGAGAACTTACAGTGTTATATTGGTAAAATTTGATGGTTCTTATTCCTCTGCCACCTACATCCCACCCTAGCACCCCCAGCCCCCCCCCCAGCCCCAATCATTTTTTGGTTAAATTGATGGTTGCTTGGTGTACTAATAATTTACATTTACACAGGTGTTACCATGCAGCTATGTTTATTGGGCCAATCCTTGCTGATGCACCCTATCCTCCTTCCTAAACTTTGGGTTGACATTTGCATTTGTTTGGATGTCAAGTATTTGGTGACTTTGTAACTTATGTTTTTTTACAATGTGTTTTAAATTTATTTATTGAGCCGGGGGTCTCTTGGAAACAGCCTCCCCACTTTCGAGTAGGGGTAAAGTCTGCGTACACACACCTTCCCCAGACCCTACCGTAGTGGGAATCAACTGGGTTGTTATTGTTGTATCATAAATTATGATGTTATGCGACAACTAGATATTTGCATTAGTGGAAAATATTTGCTTTTTTAATAGTGGAAAATGCTAGGGGTACACCAAAAGTGTACCCCAAACATCCCCCACCTCCTCCATTACCATACAAAAAAAGTAAGAAAATTTTAAAAAAAGTAAAAAATAAAAAGAAAATAAAATGAATGGTGTAAAGGCAAGTGATGTACATTTGGGGCACACTTTTGGTGTACCTCTAGCATATCCCTTTAATAGTTTGGGATAATGAATGTATCAAACTTTTTAATATGCAGACAAGTACGATGAGAACCTTGGTCTATGAGGTATGAAAATTCATATAAAATATTTTTAATAGGTACTTTAAAAAAATATTTGCTTAATATAATGTGCTAATTCATATCCATGAATGCCATAGCAGCATGATACATTTATTAACGAGTAATTTACCTAAATAGGTCTAAAACATAATGACTTTATCAATATAGGACCATATGTTTTTATTTCTCAATGTAGAACTTTTGGTCATTATCATTAGTCATTATTCAACTAAATGTCCATCATTACTGGACATTATTTCTCCCACGAGGTCATTATTAAGTTCTATTTAGGGAATAAAAAAGTTTAAATCTTACATTAGAAAAGTCATTATGTTTTAGTAGTGCAAATTTCACATTTATTAACCGTGCAATGCAGTGTACTACTAGTTCCCAAAATCTCAAATAAAACAGGTCCAAGTCCTGTCTCTTGTCCATTTCCCCTTCGTTTCCCCGACTCCCCCTTTGGTTCGGCCTTCAAGAATTGCCGGAAATCAAAGAGACTACAGAGACTCCTCTGCTAGTCGGCCACTTGCCTATTCTTTTCCCGCCAGACACCGCTGGCAGCCCGTCAGGTATTATTAATTAATCTAGGGATCTTTTTCAATCTTTCATACTTTCATTCTTTGGCTTTAAAATCTAGGGTTAAATATTAAGTAATAAACTAAAATCTTTGCTAATTGCTATGAAATATCAATGAATTTATGGTTCCATCTGTTCTTTATTTGATTTGGACGAATTGATATGAATGGATTGAAATAAGAGAAGAACCTGAAAGAGAATCCACAAACTCTCCATTGATGAATGACTTAGTGAACTTTATGTTTGGAACTTTAGCATGAGACCCCCCCCCCCCCC